AAAACGAAAAACGGAAGAAGATAATAATTAATAAACAAGAACAACAACAAACCAGCAACAACAACACAATAATAATTATAATAATAATAATAATAATAATAACGATAATAATAATAATAATAATATTAATTAATAATACACGTGAGAGAGTGTGTATGTAACTTGTGACATTCGATCGTCTCTGTGGAACCTAAACTACCTCCTTCCATTTGCACTCCAATTACGTATGTACGTACATATAGATGAGAGGGTACACGAGTATGTAAATGTGTGTAAATACGTACGTATGCGTCTCATGTGCATATTTGCGCGTGTGTTCATATTCGTGTGCGTTTGACATATGAGTTGCACACATTCTACGAGTTAATTTACACGCGTAGACTAGTAACGCGTGTATTTAAACGCGTAGATATTTGTGTGTACTCACGCGTCACCCATATGCATCTGTATACACGCGCATACACATGGTACACCACGCATCGATACTAATTTATCGTACACGTATGTATGTATGTGATCTCGTATGTTTTCCAACGAGTCCTTTCCGCGAGTTCGTCACTAATTTAATATGCCGTTTGTGTGTGTATTTTTTATCTTTTTCCATGTTTCTCCTGTTTTTTTTTTGGGTGTGTAGGTGAATGTATGCGTGTGCATATGTCTTGTATGTCTCTCTGTGTGTATGTGTGTGTGTTTTGTGGGATTATTTTTTGCGAGAGTTCGCACGCGCGCGTGCATGTATGCATGCATGAATCGTGTAAATCCTACGTGAGAATGAATGTTTGTTTTCCATGAATTGAAACATAAAAAATGATCGAGCAACGACTTGTTCTTTCTTGTTTGAGATAAAGAAATATAATTAAAAATAATAATTATTGCTTTGAGATCGAATATTGCTTAGGATCTTTGGAAAGATGGAACGAAAAAATAAAATAAATTATTATTCGATGTCTGTGTATGTTAAGGGTTAACCTTTCGAGTAGATGCAATTATTTTATTTCGAAGTAATTGGTGTGATTTTAAGGCTGTATATTTTTGTTGGGTATTTAAAAAATTGTTGGAAATATGTTTAAATAACAATGATGAATGAAGTGATTGATATAAATTAATCATAAAATTATTATTATTAATTTCGAGTGACTTTTTATGGGAGTGGCGGTTGTGATGGGATTAAATTCTGATTGAAAAGTTTTGTGGAACGAAAATTGGAAATTAAGATGGAAAGATATTGTAGCAAGATGGTTATAAATTAAATTAATTGTAATATTAATTTGAATTTAAATTGAAAAAAAAAAAAAAAAAAAAAAAAAAAAAAAAAAAAAGAAGAACAAATATTTGTAACTAAAATGTTTCATTTTTTTTCATGTACAAATTAAAAATGAATGATACAATTAATTTCTTGCTACATGTGCTT